CCAGGGTGTGCTTATCCACAGCTTGCTCATTCTGTGTCTATAACCTTACAATTGCCATTTTGCATTCTCAGTGGAACCTCAAGGACCCAGAATAATTAGATGCTTGGGGAAAAAAGGGCCTTTGGAAAATATTGTAGGTTTAACTTTGTGGATAGATGGGAAGAATCTGCTACTAGACATCTTGTCATTCCAGTATATAGGAAGACAAAACTTTAGCTTTGTAGGAATATCTCCATCCTAGGGCATGGACTAAGGAAGGCTCCTTGTTCAGTTTAACTTAATTATTACCTTCATTATCTCCCCTAAAGAAGTCATTTGTGGGGGCTGGGAAGGTGGCTCAGTGGTAGAGCACTTGCCTTGCATGCATGAGGCCCTGGGTTTGATTCCTCAGCACCACATAAGCAAAAAGAAAAAAGCCGGAAGTGGCGCTGTGGCTCAAGTGGTAGAGCGCTAGTCTTGAGCTGAAGAGCTGAGGGACAGCACCCAGGCCCCACCACCAGACCCCCCCCCAAAAAAAGAAGTCATTTGTAAGGCGTAGGCATCTTTCCTTAATCCTACCCTTCCTGTACTAATCCAAAGGCAATGTGGGGGGAAAATAATCTATTTTCTGTTCATCGATTCTCTCTCTGTTAATCCAGCTTTTTAGTGTTTTCTCATGATCACTTACTAATGAGTTGCCCATCCAGCAGCAGCCATGTTTCATTCTGTACTCTACTGCTCTCAATATTTGACTATAAAATGTTTTCCAAAGATTCATGTGTGAATATTTGGTACCTAGCTACTGGCCCAATTCAGAGGAGACTGAATCATGAGGTGCTAACTTCATCTGTAGAGCAGGCCACTGATGAAGTCATACCTGAATGGTTATTGGGAAGTAGGGCCTCGTTGGAGGAAGCCGGTGACTGGAGGTCAGGCTTTGCAGGATATATTTTGTTTCTTTTTTTTTGCCAGTCCTGGGGCTTGAACTCAGGGCCTGGACACTGTCCCTGAGCTTCTTTTGCTCAAGGCTAGCGCTTTACCACCTGAGCTAAGCACTACTTCTGGCTTTTTCTGTGTATGTGGTACTGAGGAATCGAACCCAGGGCCTCATGCATATTAGGTTAGCACTCTACCACTGAGCCACCTTCCCAGCCCTATATTTGTTTCTATATCCTTTTCTCTTTCACTCTGCTTCCTCATATACTTATCACTTTTTGTAGTAAGAACATTGAAAATTCACTCCTAGCATTTTTCTTTTTTCTGGTCCTGGGTTTGAACTCAGAGCCTGGATGATGCCCCTGAGCTTTCTCAGATGAAGGCTAATTCTACCACTTGAGCTACAGGTCCACTTCTGGCTTTTTGGTGGTTAATTGGAGATAAAAGTCTCATGGACTTTCCTGCCCTAACTGTCTTTGAGCTTTGATCCTTAGTCCCAGCCTCCTGAGTAGTTAGGATTACAAGCGTGAGCCACCACTCCTAGCAATTTTTAAATGTACATTATTAACAATAGTCATATTGCTGCACAGTAGATTACTAGAATATATTTCTCTTTTCTGCCTGAAGTTTACATTCATTTTCTCTCTCCTTTACCATAACCATAGCCTCTGGTAGCCACTGTTCTACTTTCTACCTCTGTGAGTTTTAATTTTAGATTCTGCATTTTTTTTGGTTGGTCATGGAGATTGAATTCTGGGCCTGAGCGCTGTCCTTCAGCTCTTCAGCTCATTAAATTATATATTATATTAAGAGTTCTACCATTTGAGACAAAGCGCCACTTCCGGTTTTCTGGTGATTTATTGGAGATGAGAGTTTCATGGCTTTTCCTATCTGGGCTGGCTTTGAACTGCTATTCTCAGATCTCAGCTTCCTGAGTATCTAGGATTGTAGGTGTGAGCATCAGCACCCGGCTTGCATTATTTTTTAATACACATAATTTTTAAATTTTAGAGCAACTGTCCTAGTGCCATACCTGCAAGCCTTGTGAATTCTTTTTCATTCTATTTTGGATCTCTGCCTTAACTGAGTAGAGCTTCCCTAAATTTATCAATTTGATCTCTATCTCTTGCTACTTAGTTCCCCATATTCAGTGACTATGAGAGACCCAGTCTACTGACCATGAAAACCCTGTTTCTGCTAAGCTTATAACTCTGGACACCTACAATTTTTTGACCTACACCTAGATCCAGTCTTTTTTTTTTTCTTAAAAATTTTTTGTTTTTTTTTGTAGAAAAATAGAATTACATACGCTTATAGAAGTAAGTCACAGTGGCTAAATGGTATCTGTGGTATTTCTAAATCATAGAATCTTTTTCAAAGGCTAGAAATTTTCATCTCTAATTTTCTTTTTTTAATTTAATTTAATTTTATTTGTGAACATACTGTACAGAGGGTTACAATTACATGGGCAGGATAATGCGTACATTTCTTACCAAGCATTGCAGCCTCCTCCTTTGTTTACCCTTCACATCCCTTCCCAGCCTCCCCCCTCCCCTCCCAATCCCAATCCTTCTCCTCCCCCCCCTTCCCCCCCCTGCACCGACGTTGTAAAGCTCGTTTTGGACATGACAACTTGTACTTCTCATTGTTGCAACAGGTCCACCTGTACTGGATCCAGTCTTTATCCATCTTGATGATCTCATCTTAACTCTGTTTGCCCTACTCCATTGTTTCTAAGGTTTCCTTCCCCAGTGATAACAGCTGGCTGATACCCATCCTTTCCAATTCTAATGTTGCTTTGATAGTAGCATTATTTTTTGCAGTATCACCACAGAAAACCCTGTTCTTCTTTTCTTCTTTTGCTGCCCATGCAGGGCATGGGCACTATCCTTGAGTTTTTATGCTCAAGGCCAATGCTCAACCACTTGAGCAGCAGATCCACTTCTGGCTTTTTTGGTGATTAATTGTAGATAAGAGTCTCATGGACTTTCCTGCCCAGCTGGCTTGGAACCACAATCCCCAGATCTCAGCCTCCTGAGTAGCTAGTATTACAGTTATGAGCTACTGGTGCCTGGAGAAAACCCTATTCTTGCATGATCATTAGATATCTGTCCCAAGTTTGTGTGTGTACATGTGTGTGTATGTGATTTCTCAAGAAAAAAAAATCTCTGAATCTCATTTAATAATCACACTGGTTAATACCTGAGGAATTTAACAAAAAACCTGTTTTATTGAAACAAAACAATTTTGACTTGAAAATCAGGAATGTATGACATATAACATTGATTAATAGCTAAAGGCTTGTATGTATTCATTAAAAATATTAAAAGTACGTATAAGTTGAACACTTAGCCCATTTTAAGGCTGCAATGATGTATACAACAGGTACCATGCTGTGCTCAGAAATCCTTCCAGCTTTCATCCACCATGTTTTAGAGAACAAAGGGAAAAGCCATCATGTTTGAGAACACCTATGTCCTTTACAGTTCCTCTGTTATAAGAGTTCTGGAGACAGAGACAGAAATCATTTGATCTGAAATTGAGATGCTTGATGCCATTTGACAGGACAAAGGGGACACATTCCTATCACCTACCTCTGCATATCCAAGTTGTTTGGCTGCTATTACCAGGGCTGTTTCTTTTTTTTACTGCCTGTGGAGGGGTAGAGACTACATGGACATGTAAGCAGAAGTCACTGGATACTTTTATGTCCAACAAGTAGAAATATATCCTTTGCATATGGATTCCTTTGGAGAATCAGCTTTGAGAAGTTAGCATAATGTGTAGATTAGCTGCAGATTGTGTTCAGAGTTGTCTTCACTCTATCCTGCTATGATCTTATGGTTCAAATAATCGCAAATGTATCTTGTTAAAGGTAAACATTTCTGTATATTTGTACATGTAAATTTAAAAAAATTTAATATATATTTTTATATATTTTATATTTTATTATTTTTATATTTTATTTTTATTGTAAAGATACTGTATAGTTACATGAGTAAGGTAATGAGTGCATTTCCTATTGAGCATTGTTACCCTCTCCTTTATTTTTCCCCTACCATCATGTAAGAAATTTTGTAGTGAAATATGTCAGCTTACTTCATAAGAGTTTTTTTTAAATGTATTTTATATATTTTTCTTTAAGGATTTTTTGTGATTGTTAATAGTGTAATCAAATTGACCTGTCCACAGACTTCCTTAAAATGGTCTTTTACTTGAGCATCATAAATTTTGCATATGAAACAAATCCTTCATAGACTAGTACAAAACATTACATTTTTGAATACCTAAGCTTTGTGAGTTTGTTTTCATAGTATGATTATGGAACTGTTAATACACCAGAAAAAAAGACAGTGATAGTTACCTGCATTTCTTCCTTTCTCTTTCTTGTAGTACTAACAATTGAAACTATATCCTTGCACATAGTCTACCATTAGAGCCATGCCCCAGTCCCAATTATTTGTCTCATGTTTTCCATGTTTACTTGATAATGTTTTCTGAATTTGTGAAAATATTTTGCAGGTCAAGTTTATTATTTTCTTGAGCAGAATATACCTAAATGTTGCTATGCTTGAGAATCACAAAATTTCTGTGAATGTTAAATTTAAAGCTTAAAAGTTTTTTTTCTTAGAATTTCAAAAGATGTGAAAAAACTCCACTTAAAAACTAGAGTTTGGTGCTGGGAAGGTGGCTTAGTGGTAGAGTCCTTGCCTAGCATGCATGTAGCCCTGGGTTCAATTTCTCAGTACCACAGAAACAGAAAAAGCCAGAAGTAGTGCTGTGGCTCAAGTGGTAGAGTGCTAGCCTTGAGCACAGAGAGGCTCAGGGACAGTGCCCCAGACCCTGAGTTCAAGTCGTAGGACTGGAAAAAAGTTAGCTTTCATCCCAGTTTTTCTGTAGGAGCTTGTAATGACTTAAAATTTCTTCTCTTATGATGACATTACCTGAGTTGGAGACATGGCTCAATAAGTAGAGCACCTATCTAGCAAGCATGAAGCTCTGAGTTCAAACCTCCTCATTACCCCCACCCAAGAATAGACTGATCCATGCTCTTACATTAATCTAGTAATGAATTCAACAAATATTTACTTTTTCAGGTCATTGAGCACATCTTGTTTTGTGATTTTGGCCCACGCATCAGGAATTTCACCTGTATCTGTGAATTTTTTCTGATACTTTTCTTCTAAGTTTGATCTGAAGTGTGAAATGAACCATTTCCAGTATGTCTGACTGGATGAATCTGGGGTGATGCTCCAGGTGGCATAATCCCCTCCTGCCTGTCGATAGTTCTTATATGGGATTTCCTGGTTATTTCCTAAAAGCATGAAACGATCACTTGCCACTGAAGTAGTACAGCAATCAATGACAAAGTGGTTTGTTTTGTGCTTATGCCATCCATTGACAGCCTGAGGACGGTGGAAGGGAACACTGTGGTCTCCTTCATGATTAGGAATTGTGTTAGTACAAATTGCATTACATAAGGGACATTGTTTCCAGCAACCACAGAGATGTTCAGACAGAATTTTCTCAATTTCAGGAACCATTACATCTATCGGCAGACTTGAAAAATTCTCTTCTACTTTCTTCATTGCTGGATTCAAAGCCGAACTCATGGCTTCTTTGAGAAACTCAATGTCTTTTATCTCCTGGTGTTCAATATTTACCAGATCTCTTCGTGGAAAGATCAAATTGCTCCCTAGGTGATCACAGAACAAATCCAACCACCCAGAGGCAGTGCTGCCTTTATCTTTAGCTACTGCTGTGGACTCATGAATGGCAGAGAGAATGGCATTCTTCATGTCATCTAAGCTCATTTTAAAGAACATTCGTATTTTTTCACCTTCTTCATTTGAACAATATCTTTTAATACAGTTTTCAATGTAGCTGCTAAAAAATGATCTTGTGTAATGAAGGTATTGCCAGTAATTATCAAAGTTCTCTTCTTCTGCTAGAGAAATGAGAATGTGTTTCTCTAGATTTGCCCTGTTCCCATTGAATGCAGGGCAAGTAGCTCGCATCTCTCCCGCTATTTTAATGATCATCTTTCCCTGTATTGTGGCAGAAATAGCAGGAGTGAGCTTGTGCCACAGAAAATCAACAAATGTTGTGATGGAGGTGGCTCCTTGGCAGGAGATCTTAAAACTCATAAAGAAATCATCTTTTTTGCTTTCCAGATAGTTCACAGGATCATTTGCTGCCTTGAAGGCCCTATGCATGTCCTTAAAGATTTTTGATGCTCTTTGGAACAAACACAAAGATAAGTCAATGTTGTATTTACTTGTAAAATTATATCTTCCCCCAGTGAGTGCAGATTTTACCTCCTCATTTATTATTCTCAGGATTTCATGGAAATAACTTGCACTGTAATCACTTTGTTGCTTACGAATGTTGTTAACAGTTTCATTAAATCTTGAAATAATGTGGTCAGTGGTTATATTAATGGATTCTCTATCACAAGCTTTTAATGTCCTTGTCATGAAGTTACATTTTTTACTCATTTTGACATGTTCATCATAATTGATTTGAAACTTCTCTTCACAATTACTCCTTAGTATGTCCACCATGTTTATCTCTTTTTGGAAATACTCCCAAAGGATATTTTCAGAATCTATATCAATATCAGGCTCCATGATTTGAGGAAGATCTGAAGACACATCATAAACCCATTTTTTCCAAAGTTGGTTGAATTTCTCATGTAACTCTTCCTCACTTAATTCTTTACCCTTTATGGTTAAGGCCAACTTTTGGCTTCTTTCACGTACTTCATTATCATAGCCTGTTTTGTTCTTGTATAATCTTTCTTGATTTTTTTTAAACTGCATAAGTTCCTTGGCTTTCCTTTTGCTGTCTAAAATAAGTGCCTCTTTAAGCATTATTAGCTTATTTTCAAAATTTGCTTTCCATTGAATCAGTATTTCACTGTCGGGTTCTTCATTGAAATATTTTTCAAGTTCTTGCTTGATTGCTGTGTATTTTTCTGTAACGGGAGCCTCACATAAGCCTGTTTGGAGTGTCTGAATCTTTCCATTCTGAATCTGATTGTTCAACTGATTCTGCAGGTCAAGCACATGACTCCTCAGCTCCCAGGTCCAATGGTTGTACATGGTTTCCAATTTGCTCATGGCCATGACCTCTCGGGTGTTCCTGAAACTGAAAATAAAGTTCTCATTTATCAGGGCTCTCCACAAATCTTGAACTCGGGATTTCACATGTGATATCTTCATGATGCTTCCCCTGGATTCTTGTTCTGCAGTCAAAAGAATTCTACTTTTCAGTTCTTGGACATTGTGGCTGTAGCGAGGATTGGGAGGGGCCATTGGAGGATTGCCATCCCAGAGGTGAGCAAAGTAGTAGACATGAGTATTGACATCAAACTTAATGACATCACTGAAGTGAGTTATGTCTGAGCATTCTTCTTGTTCAGCAGCTGTTATGGCCATTTCATCTAGTCTGCACTCTAGACATCTTCGTCCTTCCATGGTTTGATCTTCAACTGTAACATCTCCCACATTTTGATGGACAAAGAGACAACTTGGGGAGATTTTGACTTTCTTCATCCTCAGAAAGGCTTGGACAGCTATTTGTAATATATCCTGCATCTCTGATGGATTCTCTCCAAAAATATTGATGATGGTCAAGTTTCCAAGTCCAATGACAAAGGTGGCCAACTCATTGTCCCAGTTTTGAGATTTGTTGTTGAGTTCTGGGGCCCGAAGTCCTTCTGTGTCTATAACCAGCACAAAGTCAAAGCCAAGTTCTTCTGTAAAGTTCTCCTTCACCTTCAGGAGTTGCATGTAGGCCCCCCTAGTACACCTGCCTGCACTGACAGTGAACTGTAGCCCAAAAAGGGCATTGAGCAAGGTGGACTTCCCTGAGCTCTGCAGACCAAGGATAGAGAGAACAAAAATGCGTGGGTCTCCAAGTTTCTCCGAGACCTTGTCAAACACAGCTGACACCCACTTGAGAGGCACATAAGAGGCATCCCCATCCATCAGCTCAATGGGAACTCCAGATACCATCAGGTCTGCAGCAATTTGAGGAAGAGAGAGGAAAAGAGTGTCTCCTGTAGAAGTTTCTTCCAGGGCTTCATAGATTTGGCCAACTTCTCTGAGAAGTTGCTCAATACCCAAGGTACAGTCTTGAATCTCTATGGAGATGGCTTCTATTTGATTTTTCCAGAGTTGCAGGGAATTACTCTTTTGTGTCTTTTGCTTTTCAGTTTGTACTTGTGACCACAAAGATCTTTGGTGTTCACGTAGTTTTTCCAAGTGTTCTGCTGTGAGGTTTTCCAAGAACACACTCAGCCACTGCAAGAAGTAGAGTTTGGTATGAGTTTCTGAATGTTCTTGAAGAATTTCAAGAAAAGATCGCATTAAGTCATTGAGAGGAAAGGCTTTCTCCAACTGCTGACACCGTATTATTTGTTTATCTGTCTCAATCTCACTCTTATGTTGTTCGATACTTCGATTTCCTTTTTCTCTCAGATGATAGAATTCTTTGTCTTTCTTACACCAAAGGTGCCATAGCTGTCCCTGAAGAGGTAGTAAGTTTTCCTTTATCTGAGATAATTTTGTTTCTCCCAGGAGGGCCATGATAGTCTGTGCCTTTTCTTTGGCTTCCTTGCAATCTCTCTGGTATTCATCCACAAGGAAACCTTGTTCATGAGCAATCAAAGAACACTCCTCTAAGCTGAGAGCAGTGTTGGAGAGTTCTAGCAAATGTCTGATTGCCACTATGAGCTCTTCTGTTAATTCTGCCTCGTTTCTGTTTCTGATGCCAATTCTTACTCTTCTCCCAGAATTATTGGTCATGATTTTCTCTCTGTCATCCAGTAAGCAGATCACAGGTTTTGATGACTGGCACAGATCACGGACTACTTTTTGGTTTTCTTTATTGTCATCAGAAGCTGACATGAGGATCACAAAGAGAGAAGAAACCTCCTGCAGGAAGGTGAGTTGTCTCTTATGTTCCTTTGCATCTCCATGAAGATTAGTGAAGGCCACACAGTTTTCAAATCTGTCTTCTTCCTCCCCGCCAGGACAGAACCAGCAGATTTCCACCACACCCCCCATCAAGAGACAGTTTTTGCTACTGCCTCTGCTGTGTCTGTGAAAAAACACATTGTGTTTACGTTTACTGAGAAGACAGTTCATGATCTGAGATTTGGAGGCAGAGAGGCCATTTCCAACTCTAATGAAGGACACAATGGGGTTAGGCACCTGATATATCTGCTGATTCTTATAACTGTTCTTCTTCCCTTGTGATTTCTTTGCTTGTTGCAAACTTTTCCTAATTTGACTGAGAGACCAGAGAGAGAATTCAATTTCAGAAGTGCAAGGATTAGGCACCACAAGGGGGAGAGCAAACTGACAAATGGACAGTTTGGCCAAAATATATTGTCTGGCAAGATCATCTGCACAGTGAAAAATGGCCATTTGAATATCCATTGGGTTAATATGTGGCCTAGACTTAGTGGCTGAAGCACTAGTGACACTTTGGCTATCTTCAGGTGAGTCCTCATAAGGATCGAAAGCTTCACTGTCCTCATTTGAAACACTTTGATAGACTTGGTGCTCTGTGTTTCTATCTTCTATGAAGACCACGTGCCTTAACCCATAATCTAACATCAGTAGCTTCTGCAGAAAATAGAAGGGAAGTTCCTGTTCAGATTTGGGCTGGGTGTTGTACATTGAGGTTTTATAGATAAGATGGAAGTTAGCTCTGCTCATCTTTTTTGGGTAGTAATGCTCTAGGCCTAGCCGACTGAGTAAATCTAAGAAAGATGCATTTTCTATTACCTTGCATTTGTCATTTATATCATTATATTGTTCGTAAGATTGCTTCTTTCCATGGAAGAGACTTTGCAATTGTCTTTTCACATTGTCCATTTGCAAAGAAGAGATAGTGGCTTCATAATCACCATCAATGAGTAATTTCAAGTCTTTTTCTAGGTTTTCCCAATCATATTCTGCTCCAAGTTTGGTTAGGACATGTACAACTTCATTAGACAATGATTGTTCCATGTGATGCCTCATTAGTGACATTCTTTGTATTTTTTCTTTTGGAGAAATGGCTGCAACTCCAGCTGTGGCTGTTAGACTAGTGAGCACCAGGAATGCTTGAGCTCTGTAATCGCAAATATTTTTGAGCTCTTGGTATTTGTTTAGGGTGCACTGCGTTTCATCTAGTAGGAAGTTTAACTCATCATACCCCAGGAGACACTGAAAAGTATTGTTTATTACTTGGTAGCCTGCACCAGCTGCAATAGAAAGAAGCAAGAATTCTATGTCTGTCTGCTCTGTTTTTTTGAGGTAATTCAAGAAGCAGCTGAGAGCCATGCTGACTTCATAAGTGGCCTTTCTTTGAGCTTCTTCCACTATTTCAGTGGACTCAGATTTGACATTCATTTCCATGAGGTTATTTTGGATTTCTCTTAAGATTTTGATGAATTGAGAGAATTGGGTGATGTTGACATGCTCTGGGTCTGCGTCTGACTGGTAAATCCACTGCATGATGGAATGAGCCTGAGGAAAGTTTGTCACTTTGTAGATGTGAGGATCCAAAAGACTGCACAACTGAGATTTAATAAATTTAGTATTATGCAAGGATGAGTTTTTGCAAAAGTTAACAGTGTTTACTAGAAAATTTTGCAGATCCCAATCTGTAAGGCATATGTTAATCCAAATGTCATAATTTTCCATTTTATGTCTCATCATTTGCATGAAATCTGTCAGTTGTTTAAGCTGCTCTTCAGGATCAGATACCTCCCAGGACTTTATATCCTCTAGGAAAGCCCGAGCTTCCTTCCCAGTGCTCAGTAATTCCTCTCCATCCTGGATCTTGGCAGTGAGTCCACTCAGAGCAATGTAATTGTCCTTCAGGCAGATAGCTACTTGAAGAGGATCCTTAAAATCACTTGTGTGGTTTGAGAGGATGATGTCCCAAATGGGCACCAGGTGAAGCCCTCGGTCAATGACATGCCAGGTTTGGTTGCTAGTAACAAGGCCAGCTTTCCACTGGACAAATCCATCTGTTACTGGTGGGCCACCTATCTGGGCCACTGATAATTGGATTGTGGTTTGGAGGTTTTGAAGACCTTTGCTCCGAGAGGCTGTTTTTGAATGTGGAGCTGACACATTCATACATGGAGAAACTTTTACTCCAAAGCCACTGTAGCTGCCCTTTATGTAAATTTCCAGGATCTCTTCTGCCTCCTTCTTCACTTCAGTCAGTTGCTCACTCTGGAAATCCTCTGTGGTGGCCTTCCACCAGTAGATTCCTCCTAAGTGCACCGGACCCTGGTTAGCATGAGAGCCAAATCTGTGGAAGAAGTTTTCAGTTCTGTGTCTCAGTAATGACATCTTGTCTGAGTTTGTAGTTTGGCCCAAGAGTTCTTCAATGCTTTTCAGTTCCTGGAGAGCAGGTGTGGAGAGCTGGAGTTGATCTGTGGGAAAGTGGCAGGAGGCCAGGGGGAGGTAGCAGAACTTGGATGAGCAGAAATAAGAATGTTCAGAATACGAATGTTTGTTTTCCTTGGATTCTGAATGTTTGCTTTGATCTATTCCAGCTTCTAAACTAAATCCCCAACCTCCACCCTTGGCTGAGGCAGATAAGCTGAAGGCTAGCTTCTCTACAGTCTGGGAGAACATGGATTCTTCTTCAGAAGATGAAAATTCCTTTGTTTCCATCCATGTCCCCTGCTCAGGTCCAAAGAGTGAAAACTCCTTGGGGACACTGAGTAGCTCTTCTCTCTTCTGGATTAGGCCATTTTGGTGACTGGTTTTATATATTCCCTGCAGGGCCAGCCCTCCAGATGCCCTTCTTACCAGGTCTCTATCTGGGAGATTTTGCCTGTGGTTCATTGTCTGGTCCATGAGATGGAGTTGTTTCTGCATGTTTTCTATGACTTCTTGTAGGGAGTCTTCAGGCAGTGGCCAATATTCTTCAGGTATCTCCATTACTTGCCTCAGCTCGACTTCTTTTCTCTCTACTACCTCTTCCTGTCTGCCCCTCCCTTCTGTCAGCAAGTCCTTCAGCTCCTGCAGTGTCTGTTCTGCCTGTTTCTGCCTTTTCTGAATCATTTGCATTGATGATGACTCCTGTAAGTCCAAAATAGTATTTAATTGTGTTAGGTCAAACAGCTTCTCCAGGGCCTTTTTCTCCCATGAATGCTGCACCTGGGATTTCAGCTTCTGGAGGTCTTTTTCTTTTAAGTATTGTAAGGACTGAGTACAGGTCACACCAAGATCTTCCTGCAGCTTTGGCAACCAGTATTCAACAGGAAGTCCCACTTCGGTCAGCATCACTTGGAGATCTCCCTTCCTTTTGTCTCTGAGCAGAGGATCCTCAGGGCTGTTCTCTGTTGTGGTCATGGCTCTGAAAAACAGATCCTCAGTTAGCCTGATGGTGTGCTAACCAGAAGTGTCAACTGCATGGCCAAAAGGTGAATTTAATGATGATGCAAATCTACAAGTCTTCCTCATTTTCTCTTTTAGTTTTTTCAACACACACACATGTTGTGTTTTATATGTGTATATATATATGTATATGTATATATATATATATATATATATAAAACAGTGTTTCTGTTCATTTAAAATTTTTAAATTTATTTTAATTTTTATTGTTATTGTAGAGTTGATATATCAACTTATATTTTAAACACTGTTTTTTGTGTATTTGTACAAGATGTTATTGCGAATGTTTGCAATGTGAATTGCCTTGCTTTTTTAGTTACTAGAATGAATTATAATTTACCTTGATGTTTGCACTACCTCTTACACAGAATCAATTGTATGGAGACTCACATTAACCTGAAGGATGGCATTTGATAATGTCCATGATTTCCTAGGCTGATGCTTATTTTTAAAATAAGTGTTACTATCAATTGATTATATTTTCTCTATTTGTTTCCGTAATGCCTGTGTTGATTGGTTCCATTTGTATTTCCCCCCACTCCCCTCCTCCTTGTCCTTGTCCTCCTCCTCCTCTTCTTCTTTTGGTTGTGGGGCTTGAACTCAGGACCTATGAGCTGTCCCTGAGCTTTTTTTTTTGCCAAAGGCTCACAATCTACCACTTTGAGCCACAGCACCACTTCTGGTTTTCTGGTGGTTAATTGGAGATAACGAGTCTCATAGTTGTCTTTGAACCACGATTCTCAGATCTCAGCCTCCTGAGTAGCTAGGATTACAGGCATGAATCTCACACACTGATATTCTTCTTCCTTTTTTGAGGCAGGATCTCACTGTGTAGCCCAGGTTGTTTGAAACTTGCTATGTACTATGTAGACCAAGCTAGCCTTAAATGTGAGATTCTCCTGTTTCAAGTCTACTAAGAGCTTGAGTTTAGTCATATGCCACAATACTTGGCTCTCTGTGCATCTTGCAAGTCTTTTATGTTTATTAGCTGTTTATTATGTTTAGATGTTTATTATGCACTACTAATCTTGTTTATGGCACTCAATTCTTACTCTTCATCTTTTACTAGTTTTATGTCTTTCTTTGACTTGAACCATGTCTTATTTACTGATATCACTCACTCTTGTGTAAGCCCAAATAATCGCCTATATCCAGTACTTCATCAATGTTATGGGCCCTCTCCCTGCTTCACTGCCTTTGGGACAGCCAGTAAAATAAGATTTCCTATGTTTCAACTTCATATAGTAGTCAAATTTCCTTTTATCCTTTAATTCCTGTC